ATGTACATATGAGTAGTGTTCATGGAGAGTCCCAATAGTGAAGCCAATCGTAGATGCGAAATTCACTTTGCTTGCAATGCTGTAACTGCTAAGTATGGTAGTAGAGGATCAAGAAGTTGTTGGAATTTACTACTTGCACAGGGCTCTAGAATAAGCATCAAGTCCAGTAATCAGAGGGTCAGTCGCTACTACATTTCTTAGAGGGAAAGTCAGTGATTTTATCAGAAAGCTCAATTTTTAAAGGTTAGCATAAGGCTTGTATATGGGTCCGTTCAGCAAAATGTCTCACAGAAAAAGGGTAGGGAGAGAACTACTACTCCATTAATCCGTTCAAGGCCTTCCAGACTAGCCGAGAATCTGAAGAATAACTAGATTTAATGTGTAAATGAAGTGAATTTCGGCATATTTTATCATGGCTATGTTATAATAATTCATGATGATTACAAAAAATATGTAATTATTAAGGTACGCTTTCAAAAGAGATCTCATTCATGATGCTGTAGGAGGTCTAACAGTTGGAATCATGCATGTACCACAAGGTAACAACGCTTTATTGGAGTTTAACCAAAAGTGATCTTCATTAAAATAGAAGCCCTTCCAGTTGGGAACCCCAGATTGAGAGCCTGTGTTTTCTCTGGGTAAACCTCGCTGATCACAATCAGCTCTGCTCACCCTGAAGTCGGGCAAAGAGTATCATCACATGTGTCCCGAAGGGATGTGATATTAAACACCCTTTTTCTCAGATATTGGGTTTGAGGTACAGTGCGGTACACCAACTGCGGACGTTAGGATGAAGAACCGATAAACAGTCTTCTAACGCTTTGAACATCAGTCCTTGGCTTTCAATTTCCATTAAATTTCGCCCTGGAATTTTGAAATTGACTCAGTACATATTCTGACAAAAGGTTGTTTCATGAACCCCAGAACTCTTGGATCGGCATGTTACCCGTCCTCAACTGCTATCAAAAACTGAATCCAGATAGCTAATCGAATTAACTTTTTATACAACGCAAGAATTTGATCGGACTTGGGGTTTTATTCCCTCTTTGGGAAACCTGAGGATTCTGACACCCGCTCAGGGTGGGCTTCAGTAGGTTCCGAGCACTTTCTGAACACCGCGCTTATCCATTGAGATGCGTACACCCTGCTTTTCGTGTTCTTCAACTTTTCTAAGTAGCATGAGTGTCAATCGCTGATTACTATCTGCATATTTCCCGAAGACCCAATGCCGGCTTAGGACCATCAATTTGAAAATTCTGTTCATTCTTCGATGGGATTCAAGTGGAAAGTAAACGAAACAAAAGGGAACCAAAAAATGACTGTTCCTTTCAAATCTTCAGTTTAACTTATTCAAAATAATTTCAGTTTGTTGCTCTGATAGAAAAAAAGAAAGCTTCTAAGTTCAGGAATTGCTTACGCTGTGTTGGCGGGTGTTGATCCAGTAGTCGGTCTGTACACATCATTCTTTCCCGTACTATCGTATATGATATTTGGTACTTCACGGCATTGCTCTACAGGTTGGCTCTACTTTTCTTTTATCTTTTGTGGTAGTGGTCTGAATAAGGCTAAATGTAATAGTGTCCTGTGATAAGAATCACCCGTGATTAATAAATGATGGGGCCCTTTAACGCCATCTAATCATTCCGTTCCTGCCATGCTCCCTGCATTCGACTTCTCTTCAGGATGGTAGTGACAGTTTCAATGCCTACGTGACATATGCAGTAAATTGCGATAGCCTGGCGTTGGTTGTTCAACTCTCTCTTTGCTTGAGTCCTCCCAGACGACTCTGCTAGAATTAATTGGCCCAGGAAAGATGGGAGACTTGATGGGTCCAGGCGAATATCGATACGAGATTCGATATCCGGACAATAAGCGTCATAGTGCCACTTGCAGCTGCACCGCTTATGCCTTCCATTGCCATACTTATTAGGAACGGCTCTCAGGAATCTCCTGAAAAGAGAGAAAAGATTACGGAAGAACTCGGGAACTGTTGTTCCAAACGATAATGGAAGCAGCGATAGAGCCGGGGAAGATTAAGCAAGGCTGGAAAAATGGAGGCCTGCGGAAGAAAAGATCTGAGCTTCGAGGAATAGAGAGTTTAGAGGGCAAAGTAAGCTGAAGGAATATGAAGGAAACCAAGTCAGAACTTTTGATTCAATTCGAAAGAGAAGCATAGATCGCGGTTGGAGGCTTTACATGACAATGGGTGGAACTGATACATTGGAGTGACAGAATGGCAACTTATGGAAGTGGTGGGAATTTCAAATGTGACGAATCCATTCAGAGAACAAACTAGCACTTGCTGCGCGGTGGGACAGCGATCTAAGAATCGCAGCGAACCGTAGTTCAATTGAGGCTCCTCCCCTACACTCGTTGGTTTTCTTCGTATGAAGTGGTTAGAACTCCCGTCACCTTGAGGCGTACATTATGCTTTCGAAGTGTCGCATTTGGTACCTATGTAATTCTTGAACATGAAAATAATTCAAAAATTTTGAAGAATAGAAAAAGCCGAGGTAGGCATTAAAATGCTAAATCCTCTACTTGGTTACAAAGTACAAAGGTTACCCATTTGCATGAGTATTCGGCGTTTTGGAAGTCCATTAGTTTAGGAGCCTTCGCAGTTGTAGCACTGATGACAGGGAAAGCGGTCCATCGGTTATCCGTCGCTCCCGAAGACGTCATGTCCTTAGGGAATATCACAGGGTCAACGACATCACCTACACCGGTTCAAGTCGCTTCAGCATTGACAGTGCTTATTGGTATAATCCAGGTAGATTACATTCTATTCTATTCATGGAGTTTACGAATATTTTCAATCAAGAAAATAGAAAATATTGTCAGAAAATCAAATTCCTGCAAAAAGGGGTAGGTTTGATCTTGAGCGTATTCAAAGCTCAAGTTCCTAACATCTCTTCTCGGGAGACGGGCGTTAGGAACGATTTTGGATAATCGCTTCGCCGCACGCGGCTGTCGCGGACCACTCATTCGCCGTTATTACAGCTCTAGCGTTCTTCATACAGCTCACTTGATATGCGATCATTATTTTATGCATAATTCTACTATTAGTACTTTTGTTCTTGTATTTCTTACCTACTGCTGCATCCTGCCACATTCCTTCGCGCGCGACGCCCCTCTCGCCGCGACGCGGCCATTTCGTTCCTAACGCACCACACCCTCTCTTCTCGTCACAAACATGGCCGTTCCACATAGGAGACCTGCGACTGGAAACGAGTCATTCCCACTGTCGTTTTTGTCTATCGTACTAATCTGATTTTTAAAAGGAAGTGGATCAATTAAATTGTTGATGGCATCAGATAGGCTTCAGTTCTTTATTCCTCATTTTAAATAGACCAATAATTGATAAAAAAATTAATTTAGAAGCCTCTCAAGGAACAAGATTACTACCATCTAAATCTCATTGGATATTTTCTAATTAGTAGAATTACCTGGAAAAGCTCGTTTTATCCTGCTATATCCGCCCATTCCCGAGCAAAGACTAGAAAATACTGGTTTAGGTATTGGTAGGAGCGCTTGGTCTCGACTTTGTCACGACGTATTTCTCCGATGAACTCGTTACTGGCTTCACAACTGGTGCTTCCACACATGTATTTATTACACAGCTCAAGGATGTCTTTGGAATTCCTGGACTTCCACGACGTGAAGGAGTGGCGAACGCATTACTGGTCAGTAAGAGATTTCAGAGAGTTCCTCGGATTTTTGAAAAATTGACAGTCTGCTGGAATTCGGCAGAGGAAAGCACTTTGATATAATACCTTGGATTGGCTCATTTCAGAAAATCTATGATCTCTGTGCTGGGCTTCCACGAACGAATTTGATCGCTTTTGGGCTGTCAGCATTGACGATCCTCCTGCTGATGATCGGAAAATACGTGCTCAATCCTCTTGTGAAAAAACGCCTTCATTGTCCAGTACCTTTCCCAATGGAGCTTCTTGCTGTGGGTATCTAGCTGAGACGATCTTATTTCTGACATTTTGTTTATTTAAACGCTCCATGAATCTTTTGCACAACTTCAGGTGGTCCTAGGAACTGTGATATCTCAATTTGCTCATCTCAAATCGAACTTCAATGTCTCAATCGTTGGAAAGATTCCAGAAGGGTGAGATTATCTTCTAAGAAATTATCAATGTGGAAAATTCTAGTAGTAATATGTCTGAGTTATTTACCACATAAGCAGCCATGCGGTGTAGTGGAAAGTGGCGCACTATCACACATGCAGGGGCCGGGGATCGGATCGCAGACCGGTACTCGTCCAAGATGACCAATCCTATCATCCCGCCGAAGTCGGTTGATTGGTGCCAGACTTTTCTGGGAGAATAGAAGCACCGACTTGTACAGCCACTGGAAACCGCTCGCCATTGTGTAGACCATATACGCATACAATACGCCCTAGTCACTAAGTGGCAGTCGAATGTGGGGCGCATCTCGAAGCGGAGCTGATCAAATAAAATAAAATTAGGGATTGGACTGGAGTGACGACAGAAGTTGCATGGGAGGGGTATTTGGACGAGCTGTTCAAATGTGCTCACCATTGCACACAGCTGGCTACAGTAAGCTGCCTGCGCGCAATGTGTGGGTTCCGGTGCGAATGGAGCTTTAACAATGCTTAACAGTTCGTCCCCCTTGGGTTTGTATGTTGGCTAAGCCAGTTTTGAGGCTCCTGTGAAGATCTACTTAGCTCACTTTTGAACCCGACAGCGCTCTCTGCGTTATCCTCGGGGGTCATTCATCCCAGGGAGAAATCTCAGAAACCATTTTTCCCAGGGAGAAATCTCAGAAACCATTTTCATTATAAACTGTGCCATTAACGCCATTATTTTTTAACCTTTATGTACCTTACCTTCTATTGGCTTTGAACTATTTCTCTATATATGACGTTAATGACGGTAAGGTTAAAGCTATTTGGCATCAATCTACCCCATTTCTGAGATGCGCCCTGCACTCGACTTCAAAACAGAATCGTAATGGCGATTCTTAATGCATGTGTGGCTTATTCCTTGCTTGCTTGCTACTTGTTGTGGCAAGCCGATATACGAATCAGTGCTTTCAATATTCCGGAGATCTCTGCTTCTAATCAACCTATCCCGGAAAACTTTGTTGACATGGGCGGGAATCGATCCAGGATCTGACACTGGACCATGCGTGTGAGAGTGTGTACCACTTGTCTTTACACCACCTCAGCCATTACAAATATATGACATAATCCAATAGAAATTTGTAACACAATCGATTAATAAGTGGTTGCTACAGTCCTAACTTTAGAAGACACTTATTTTGAAAGGATTCCAGTTATTCAATTATTTCAAAATATTCCCAATTTTCAGTTTACCAGCGCCATTGTTGCCCCATTTGGATTTGATACCATCACTCATCGTCGATGCGATTTCCATATCAGCCGTTGTTATGGCCATCCATGTCTCTCTAGCCAAAATATTAGCCAAAAAGTACCAGTATGAAATGGTTACCAATCAGGTGAGTAACCAATGTTAACATTGAAAAGGTAAAAGGTCAAAGGGGTTGCTTCCCCCATTCTACGAAATCGCTTAATACCTATTTCTATTTTAGGAGTTCTACGCAATGGGTTTCACATCGGTATTAAGCGGATTTTTCCCGATTTTCCCACATTCCTGTAGTATTTCACGGACGATGGTTAGCGTTGGAGCAGGAACTAAAACTCAGGTAAAGTTTTCAGCTTCTCTACAAGGATTCTGTTACACATGCTAATCGTGGAATTCAGTTGAACGCCATTTTCTCGAGTATATTCATCTTCATCATCGTGCAATTCAGTGGTTCATGGCTCCAGCCTCTACCAATGGTGAGATCTTATACTTTTCCTCTTACCAGTTAAGGCCCTTGCACACACACACACATCATGTGTACATATTTACGTACAGTTCGCTAAAGGAATTCTTTCTGAACATCTTATCCAAGCATTGGAGCTGTATTTTAAGCCAAAACAGTTGGGTATAATGCTGAATAAAAATTTCAGTGTGTACTTGCTTCCATAATTGTTGCTGCCTTGTTGGGAATGTTCCAGAAATTCGGACAACTAGTGAGATTGTGGCGACTGTCCAAGATCGACTTCGTAAGTTCATCTTTTTTGGCATGTAAAGGGTGTAAAAAAGAAATCGTTCACTAAACATGACCACAGATGGGAGCAACATCTGAAAGCATACTGACGATCTCAAAAACGAAGGCCGTTTCCGGGAAAGACGATAATCACTTCCCAGATGGAGCTGTGATTTGTAATTGTCCGCCGTGTCCACCCTATCTCTGAATCCCCACATCGGATTTCGCCTGAAGATCTAAATGGTCTTTCAAGACCCGTTTCATAACTCATAGCTTATATAAAGTATAATATCGAAGAGGATCTTTTGAAACTGAAAATTAAGCTCGGACAAAACAGTTTAAAAAACCTTACAGTGGTAACTGCACTGGAGCGGGCTTAGGTCTTTACCTTTTATAAATTCGTGTCCTTGACTAAACATTCTGATTGGATGGCTGAAGGGTGATTATCTGACGCATTCTCTTCTACGTACGAAATCGCAGCTCCATAAGCAGCAGAAGTCTCATCATCAGTCTTTCAGAGTATCTGGGTAGTCGCTTTCGTCGCCACCGTATGTATAGATGTAATGGAAGGACTCGCAATCGCAATTGTTTTCGCTCTGTTCACTACTGTCATTCGAGAGCAATGGTAAGTTGGTGGCTCCGAAATCTTCCACTATATCTTCAGAGCTTAACGACCTGTACTTCTGGACCTTTGGGGTCGTGGTTGGAAAGCAGGGTTAATGCCAAAGATCTTAATCCATGTTTCCTTCAGAGTGGCTAGGTGGAGCAGTTTACATAGATTTACAAACGTTTCCTCCAATTCTGGAAACATTGATGAGGGCAAACTGTGATGATCACTTCTTATTTTCACTAAGTTGGGTTACTTTCCAATTATCGTAACCTTCCTAGCTCTCCGAAAAGAGGTAGGAAAATTTATGATCTGACACAGAAGGATTAAGCCTTTTAGCCTTGAGCAATTCAGTGCAAACTTCGCGAAGTAGAGAGTGAAGCACTCTCACACGCTCATGGTCTAGAGATCATGTTCCAGATTGGTACTTCCCGTGCCACATAGTCTTCTGTACCTCGGCGCTCCAATGGTTGGGAAGCAGGGTTAATGCCGAAGATCTTATTCCACAGTATACTCGACTTCCATTCAGAATCTTAGTAGCGTTTCGAAAACGAGTGACCTCCACAACGGACTACCTTAGCCACGAAATAGTGCCTAACACCTTTCCATCCAAGTCTGGAACCAATTCGACGACCCTGAATGGATGGCCCGATAGGTTGACCTAGACGAGCTATGCGTGTGGTAGGGCACCTATTTCTTCCACACAACCTCCTCCCAAATCCTGTCAGTTCTTCTTTTTTTGGAGTGATTCCAACCCTCGGCAAGCTGGTTGGCCTAAATCTTTAAGAATGCATTTGCAAGCGCGGATTGTGATTGCGCGAGGAGCCAGTGTCTACATCTAGATTATTTTTTGCAAACATTCCAGGCCAAAATGGCATATCTTGGCGAACATATCAGGAACCTATGACTTCCGTGATGTGGAGAGATATCGCCATATCTACTTCTTCAATGTAAGTCTAACCTATTCTGCTTTCAATAAACCATGTTCATGCAGAATTCACTTCAGTAAACAACGATTTTTCAGAGTGTGTGTGTGCTGAGATTCGACTCACCGCTCCTGTTCACAAATGTCGGACGATTCCGAAAGATAGTGGATAATGTGGCGGATGACTGGGAAGGTATAAAGTATTGCGGAAAACTCGACAAGAAACACCTCGTTCTGGGAGAGCAAAGCGAGGTGAGCCTTTCAGCATAACAGCTTTATTTAGTTCCTCATACAATAGTATTTGGTGTACGACGTTTTATAAGAGCCTTGCCTATTATGAAGTGGATTACAGGGGGTTTGTTTTCAGAAAGATTCCGTGAGTGTATCTTCCGAAAACCAGAAGAAATACCTTATAATTGACTGTTCCGGATTTGCTTACGTGGACATCATGGGTGTGAACACCCTCAAAGAGGTTGGTATTTCGATATATAAGTTTACCAGACAAAAATTGGAAGGCATGATTTTGAGATTGAGCAGAGGGCGCCCTCTCTGCTTATTATACGATCTAGTAGACAGGCCTGATTTCTATTAGTTCTCTAGGACGGAGGTAGTGTCGAATACCGGATAGATATCAGGGGTCGGTTAATGGGTACCCCAGAAAGCACTGGCTTGAAAACTAGCCGACCACCGAAAGTCATTGTATAGGCCACATGCGCATTCAATAAGCTACTATGATTTTGAAGTGTCGGATGCGAGGGCGCATTTCTCAGAAGCAACTGATCACCGCTCTGAGTCTTCCCCTTTACCTTTTCATCCTTCCCTGCACTTATTTACTGCGTGAGCTTGAAACTGCAAAAAGTTAGCCCACATCGATCTGACTGTCCACAGTATCTTCACGTAGACTTCTGAGTGACTATCAACTCCCAGCATACGGTCTTCTTTATTTGATCAGGTGTTTCAGATAGAAATACCAATGACGTTGTCGCTCTACGTATATTTTATGAAACATTTCAGATTCACGAGGACCTGCGTGTTAAAAACATCTGCGTCTCCTTTGCAGCTGCCAAAGGTCAGTCGAATTTCGTTTAGGAATAAGCACAGGCTCCAGCAGCTCTGGGAAGCCTTTGTGAATGCCCTGTATTCAATATAAGCTGGGTGGTGCTTGAATCAGGTGCTTATTCGAGTTTGATCTTTACCCTCATGATAAAAATGCAAGCGCATAGCTGATCGCAGAACGTGCGTACCCGTAGTATGTCCGGTCCTCTTAGCTTTATGCTTTAACAACATGTAATCCATCATGATATGATAAATCAGTTTTAGCACCAGTACGTGAATTGTTCGAAGCCAGTGGTCTCTATGCAGCTGTAGCCAAGACCAATTTCTACCCTACGATCTATGATGCGATCGCATACGCTCAAATGGAGAGGTGGGTTGGAACTGGACGAAATCTTTTGAGCAAGGAATATCACGCACAGGTTATAAGGTGGTTCTTTTCAGAGGTGTCTCGACCCCCGATCATTTCATATCGCATGATAGTTACGTCAATCACGTCGACACGACAGACGAAGCCATTCAGTGTCCTGAACCGTCGAAGGAACGCTGCTCAGTGTAGGCCATCTAAGATCGGAAGTGAATTTCCTGATGATGTACCATCGCCTGACTTGCGTTCAGTCAAATGCCTTCCGATTTGCGTTTCGNAGTTGAAAAATGGCAGGCTTACCAGGAACCCCCGCTGTTTCTGGGTTTGGTCAAGAGCCTCAGTGGGACTGCAAGTTTTTGTCTTACCGAGCCGTAGATTATTTTAGTGGTCGGTTGATTAACAGTATTATTAGGCATAGAATACGATTGTGTTAACAACAATGATATTCTTACTTGTCCAACTCGAGACCGCGACGCAACAGCTCGCGTCCATCCTCTGTACAGCGCAGAAGTGTTTGGCTAACAATAAACGTTTGAGCGGGTAACAAAAAGAAAATTCTTACCTACCTACTATAACTGGGTTTCGGAGCTCTGCCGATTTCTCGACTATTCTTATACATTGATGATTGGAGGCTTCAGAGAAGCCTTTGTCTGTTGCCTTCATTATCTTTATGTTGACATATCACTTGAAAACGAGTATATTGTGTTTGAAATAAATGATTTATGTCCTGTTATCGCTTTTCTGTTATCAAAAATTTGAAGTAGTTCGACACTCATTTCACAACTTTGTATGGGGTGTTTTCAAATTTTTGCCTCACAGAGGTCAAGGTATTCCCAAAAATAGCACGGAGCAGTGGAATGACCTTTAATTCATTGACAAGTTTTCGTTTACAATGTACCACAACTCGGATTGTACCCAGACCGGGAAAAATTTTGTGTGTGTATGTGTGTGTATGTGTATGTGTATGTGTATGTGTATGTGTATGTGTATGTGTATGTGTATGTGTATGAGTACGTGTATGTGTATGTGTATGCGTATGTGTATGTGTATGTGTATGTGTATGTGTATGTGTATGTGTATGAGTATGTGTATGTGTATGT